TCATTTAATACTTACTTTATTTTGTTAAATTTGTTGGACTTTTTTTAATGTATTTCAGTTAATTTTGTTTATTATCATTTAATATCAGTTATTTTAATTTGGTTATCATTTACCATTTAATACTTATTGTAAGTTTGTTGTATTTAAAATTATTTTGAAATACCAAATTGTTATCAGTTTGATAAAATTTAATGATTGTGTTCGATAACTTTCTTAAGTTTGTCACTTATTATCTACTTATTATCTCTTTTATTATAATCACATATAACGCAAACGTCCAATCTCGTATTACTTTATCATTTTTTTAATCTTCATAAGCGATTATCGAATGCCATTAACTTGAAGTAAATGCAAATTAAAGTACAAGAATTATTATTTGATAAACAAATACATCATTTTCTCATCAATTGTTACTTGATGGCAACAAAAGTGGACATGTTTTTCTAGTGTGTCCTGGGTTTCTACAATGCTCACATCTTCTGTCTTGTCTAGATCTTTCTCGAATATCCATATCGCAATGAATTCGATTGGATTTTTGACGACCACGCTACCTCAATAAACTCGGATTTGGTACAATCGGAAGCCAATATTGAACCTTATCAGAGTCTTTGTCATTACCTATGGGGGAAACTCAAATTCTTATACCTTAAAAACTTCAGATAGTAGGTCTACGGGATCCACAAAATGGTTATAGTTTTGACGTGTATGCGAGCAAGCTGCTATCGCATGAGAGCATGGATACTTCAGAGCTTGAAAAAACCCGCAGTCCCACGTTCTGTCCCTTAGATTTACTCTTAACGACACAGCTTCAATCCCTTGAAGAGGTCATGACAACTCTGTGACACATAACATTTCATGCCTTCTAGAGAAGCTTGTTACAAATATTCCATTTGATGTAGAATTTTTTTTGTGGATCTACAACTAATTTAGGGTGATAGACGTGACCGCCTTACATCCAGGTTTGAGCTTGTCCCCCGAGCTTCGCAAAAAGCACCCCCAAACGAAAATATATAGTCTTTACCAAAGCCGCTACTGGTAAGGACATGCACCCTTTAAGGTTGAATTGATTGCCTCTGCCAAGTTGGTCGTCATGTGTCCATATCAATATCCACCATCATATGCGTTCGTCCACATTTTTTTTATCGATGAGGCTGATGTAATCGTATCCTTCCTTGTTCTTCGCCCGCAAATCTTGAAGCATTGATTGGGTGAATGAATAGTCCAGTCTCAGCACCATTCGCACCAGGCTCACAAAGCGGTTCTTCTGGTGGAGATGATGGTTCCTCCATGCGCTCCATATTTAGGTCGAAGAAACTACTACTTGCACGCCTTCCCCTTGATCTAGAAGGCATATCGACATTGAGATCGAAAAAGCTCGCAGTCGAATGCCTCCCCCTAGAGCTTGAAGCCATCGTGTCAAATGGAAACTGCATAGATGGTTGCGTCGATGGCATCTCCATATGGTCAAAGAAATTTGTAGATGAATGTCTTCCCCTTGAACTGGACACAGTGTTTCCATACAGATTATTCGTTGACCCACCTCGGTACATATCGTAAGGAGTTGCGGATGAATGTCTCCCCATTATGGCATTAAAATCATTACATATTACTATAGTCGGGCTGTCAACTTGATCAACTTGTTCAGCCAGCCCATAGTGGGAGCTTAATAATTGACCCCAAACAGCACGCACTTGAACAAAATGTGCATACATCTCAATATCGGCGTCTGAATAATTACTTTGAGCTTCAACCATCATTCATTTCAACATCATCATTGTTCGAAAGTTCGAACGATGTATAAGTTAATGGCAACAATGACGTTGGGAATCTGTACTGCAACGACGACATTCTTCTACTACTTCCATCATGAATCTTCCTCGAAATCTTCGTTATTATATCCTCAAGAGTTATGTTTCTCTTGAATGATATTTTAACACGCTCATTTGATACGAAAACAACGCCAGTTTCGTCTTCTCAAATTTCACCATCATAATAAACAATAGCTGAAAGTCGCGTCATTCTTTGAGTTTAAAAGTACGAAAATATTATATCTGCAAAAAAAACTAAAAAAAAACCTGATTAAATAACTAATATATGAACGAAAATATAACACAATAAAATTTTTACACATCAACGTAAATAACTTAAATAATATAATTTTATATTATTACCTACACCGCAAAACTATTTCGATGTATGCTCCCGCTTTCCAATTTTACAAACACAAAAATTAATTGAAAATAATTAGTATACTATTTTTTCAAATAATCATAATAAACAATAAGTATAATAAAAAAATTATAACAAAATTACCTTATAACGAAAAATCACACGAACTTCTAAATCAAATATGAGAAGATTGTCAGAATTATTGACTCGTTGACGAAATTGTTGTATTAATTTATAAGTTGAGAGGAGATATGTGAGCAACTTAACGGGGGAGAAGGGTATTTATAGCCGAAGGCGCTATACAAGGCGCGGTACCTGCACCACGCCTTGTATAATTATATAAAGGTATGGCGCGACCCCTGCCCCGCGCTATATATAATTCAGAATTAAAGGTAAGGCGCGACCCCTGCCTCACGATATACCTCTACGTGGCATAAGGCGCGCCCCAAGGGCCGCACTATACCCACGTGTATCCATGTCAGCATAAGGCGCGCTTCAGGGGCGCGCCTTACCTCACGTGGCGCCAAATCAACATTTAGCGCGGTGCAGGGGGCACGCTTTACTGCTAAGGGTGTTAGATCGGGAAATATAATCTGATCGGTGTTAGATCGGTAAATATACCGGTCACCAGTAATTTTTCGGGAAAAACACCATGATAAAGCACGGCCGTGATGAGTATTCTAAAACACTAAATGGACACATTTTGGTTGGCCAAGCCCCATGGTCCGACGATTCAAACAAGGTGGCTAGCCGGTGGCCTAAAACATTAAATTGGGCCTACTTATTGGGAGGAAGAAAATATGCAAACCCTAAGATGCTGATGTGCCACCATTTTTAGTTTTTACATTCACACCCGAGCTCAAAACTTGATGGCGAAAGTATGAGAGATATTAAAAAGTAATTCTAAGGGTTGTCTTGTAACATATACTTTTGGATTGCATGCAATCAGGGTCCCAGGATCGACCACTCAAAGACAATTGGAGAAAGAGATGGACCCCAATTCACGTGGATCGGCTGCTAAAATTAAAAAAAAAGGAATATTTTATCACAATGTAGGTTAAGGCAATTAAAAGGTTTGTTGGGGAAATTATTGCATCCATACCATTGTCGAATATGTGCAACTTATAACAATTGCTAATATCATGTCAAATGCCAATCCGTCTCTCGTTAGATGGGGTAATAAATTCCTCAAAACAGACAAGGTTTAGCTAAGGTGAAGTATTAATGTGAAGAAGGGGGAAAGTGATACTAGCCATTTCCACATTTATTGGCTGCCCTTCAAAGTCACTTCCCTTCTTTGAAACATATGTCCCCACTGCCCACATGTGGGATTTTATTCATTATCATACAAAAGTAGGCGCCATTATGCTCTACTGTCTTCAACTTTCTCAGATTTTAAATAATTTATTACCATTACGATTTTATTATTTATGATGAACATTATATTTTTAACGAAAGAATTTAAATTTAAGATTAGAGACAATGTTATCAAAAATATATAATTCCCAATTTGATAGTCATGTTTACTAGTGAATCACTTTAAATTTGAAGATGTTTGAACACAGTTGGTGATTAGTTGTTTATGAGTAAGGTGCATGGCGATTGGGCAAGGGGAGTGAGTGGGTCATCATCTGAGAAATTGATTGCCTTTGGCCAATTGGCCTAGTATTTTTCCTTAAACCTTACAAAGACGCCAGATGCACCCTGAAACCGACCCATCGACGCTGTTCTAAAAGTTTTACTGCCATGGAAAACAGTTGCCCAAATCTTTGCTGCAGTAAAATATGTTCTTTTGGCTGCTTTTATCATTGCACTACTACTATAGCCTATACCGCAAATCACTTTTGTGAAAAAAAGAAGGGTTGGAATGGACACTCTCTGACCTGACCACCTTTACAAATAAATTGGGGTTTCTACCTCATTCTTCATCATATCTGTTTTCCTTTTTGTTCTACATATTTTAACCACGTGAGATTATAATTACGCCCCCAATTTCCGGGCATTCAATGGATAGGGGACTTGTTAAGAGTTTAGTTGGTTCAAGGGCATCAGGGAATTTGTTTACATGGAGCGGATACTTTCCAAATGTTATTTAGGACAATAACTTACATTTGAAATATATCTTCAACTAAACTGACATGCAATCATTGCTGCTCAATGATGAAAATATTCATAAAATATTAAAATAAATAAGGTTTTAAGATCAATAAATATCAGAACTATCCAAACTATTAACTTCGGATAGAACTGACAAATGAGAAGCTAAAAACTTGCACGCAATGTTGTAAGGGCAGCCGGTTTCCATGCTTAATGCAGTGACATTCTTGCACAAGTTAAGAAACAGGGATGAAGGCAAGGGCATGATATCAACCGATATCTTGAAAAACCACCTAAGGAGATATATGTAAACATCAGCAATACCTCTAAAATATTAATTTATGTATTATCAGTCATTATTATTTTATTAGTAGTGATGAATATAATATCTTAGTGGTTAACAAAGAAATCAGGTAATTTCTTCTACGCTCTAATTTCATCTTCGCACTAAGTCAAACACCACCAACTTCTTGCTGGGATATATTTTTTCCAAGTTTTTTTTTAATTTGTGAAAATAAACTGCTAGTATAAATGAAATGAAAATGACGACACTTATGGTAGAGACAATGGCATTAGCACAAAATTTGTGGCTCTCGAGATCATATTGAGATCATGTATAACGTACTGAACTGATTTCATTCAATAATTTATTTATTTTTTTTGAAAAAGAAGGAGAGAGAAATTAAAAGAAGAAAAAGGGGAACAAATTCAAGCACTTCATGGGGGGGCCATAATGTGTCTCGTCAGTTAGACCCAAAGATGTGAATTTCATCTTTCTCTCCACTGCACTATCCCTATTCGTCCACCTTTTCCTTTTTTAAATTTTTTAATGATCATTTCTTGCTAAAAACACCCAAGAATTCCTCTGGAACCGAGATCAATCTCAATCATCATGTCAGTTGATAGAGCCACTGATTCAGCTGAAGGCTCCTCACGATCCACCGGTAACCACCACAATCAACCTCAGCCGACGCCTCCCCTGAGCCGGTACGAGTCACAGAAACGGCGCGACTGGAACACTTTCGGACAGTATTTGAAGAACCGGAGACAACCGATTGCACTATCACAGTGCAACAGCAACCATGTTCTTGATTTCCTCAGATATCTAGATCAGTTCGGGAAGACAAAGGTTCACCTACGCGGTTGCGTCTTTTTCGGACAACCTGACCCGCCCGCTCCTTGTACTTGTCCACTAAGGCAAGCCTGGGGGAGCCTTGATGCACTGATCGGACGCCTAAGAGCTGCTTATGAAGAGCATGGCGGGTCTCTGGAGACTAACCCTTTTGGAAACGGAGCAATCCGGGTTTATTTGCGTGAAGTGAGGGACTGTCAAGCGAAGGCCAGAGGGATTCCTTACAGGAAGAAAAAGAAGAAGAAGACTCAAATTCAACCCAACGTTGACCAGCCTATTCCATCTTCCAAGCAGCAGCCCTCCTCCGCCTCGCTAGCTGCCTAGGATCTTCCGATTCTTCACCTAAATGGTATTTCCTTTGACTTTGATACTTAATATAAATACAGACTCATCATTAGCTTTTCATTTAAAATTCGTTGCTCTTTTTTCACAAAAAAAATCTAGTCAAGTTCATCTAGCTAGCTGCAGATAAAGGTTAACTAAAAAGGAATAGTACATAGATTTCGGCTTATATAAAATTTCAAGAATAAGAAAACTAGATTGCTTGAATATCTGGAACTGGTTAGTTTACTAGAAGCCACTAACACTATAGTCTACCACAGAACCGAAAAGAACATGGTATTCCAAGTATGGGATCTTCTTTCCATGGTAGAAGAAAACCCTAAACCCTTTACGTCCAAAACCCTAATTCCAACACTCGGGGCTTTGCAGTCTAGCAACGGTATGCTAAGTGATTTTTACACGCGGATCATTTCTTACTATTGCGTGCCATTGATTGGAGGAGAAAGATTACCTCTACTTTTTCTTTATTTGTCCCCATAACATGCACAGAAAACAAAAATAGAAAATAAATATAGTAGAAAAATATTACCCAATTCTTTACTTTTTCCCTTGTTTTTTGGGTCATTTTCTGATTCTATTCGATTTTGTGCTCCTCATGAAATGAATGTCCATGTTGATATTATATATACTAGTGATTGCTCATAGAGCACATGGTCCAAAATTAGTATAAATGTTAGTATTTGTGTGGAGGGATGGAACCAATTTATATACGCACTAGATTTTCTCTAGTAAGTAATCTAAACGTCACCGTATCTCTTCTTTGATTGCATCTTTATAAACTAATGATATATAATAGAAAACGCATATCAAAAGATTGTGGTGGCAAGGCATTCCCATTACGTTACATATATTCTTTTCTTAATTTCATGAATTTTTATTTTGTATGATGTAAACCTGTCTTATAATCAGATTGACCTGGCGTGTAATCAAATTGTGTTTTATTAGGGAATGCGCTTTTCATCAACATATATAATTCAGTGGGGCATAACACTATAATAATTTTAACTATTAAAATCGATTAACTAATTATATATGTATGGTCATTATCCTCTTTTCTTCCCTCTGTCCTGATTGTGACATTGGTTCTATAACACATCTGGATTTCGATCTTAACATGTTTTGGGATGGGAATATTTAAATTATTAAGCAGGAAAAGGAAAAAGATAATAGTGTTGTTGATGGAGGTAAATAAGAAATTAAATGCCGTGAATGCCAACTAGATTGACCTCTGGAAGCAAATAGAGTAGAGTGCGTAAGTACATGCACATGTGCATCTACAACCAAGAGCTCTAAAAACTAAAAAGCTAGCTACTGCCATTACTGACTCTGGGTTCGACTGAATCCAATAAGGAATATCAGACAGAATAAATATTAGTACTCTTTCTGTCTTTTCTTTGCTCTGATTAGTACGGAGACTAATATGATACAACACCTTTTCTCTTAGGAAGACCAGGTTTAAGAATTTTACACCCAGGTTTTCCATCATTATTTCATTTGTAAAGCATAGTTCCATATACGTATTAATGAGCACAAAAAATTAGTACATATATAGCAAACCAGAGTCCCTAGGAATTAGAGAAGAATAAATATGATGCGAGGAACCTAAAAAATAACTGGTTGGTTCGCGAGATTTTTTTCATTGTACTCTTAGATTTTTGGATCATTTTAGCAGCTTATATGAACAAGTGCTTGTTAAGTTGGAATGTTCAGATGGCTCCTTTTTTCAGCTGAGTCAGAATGATCGTGCCGATCAATAAGGAAGTTTATACATTTATTCATATATGGTTTTGTTGATGCATGTGTGACTCTAATAAAAGTTTTATCAGGGTTTGTCGTGGAAGTTTATCAAAATTTGTCTATGAGGAGTCGGGATAACTTCTTAGTGCTTGAGGAAATATGATATTTATTTAATGCAGTCAATGTGTACAAAATTTATTCGTATATTTATCAAACTCTCGAATGTTATAATTTTGTGTTTCATTAATAATACATAAATTTAAATACTAATAACCTATCAAGTATAAGCTTTATAAAAATAAAAGAAACAGATGAAATGCATATATTTTTTCTCACAACAAAAAAAGTGATTCTATATTTTCTTTATTTTAAAACTGACATTATATTAAAAAGATAGTTAAATAAAATTAATTAAAAACATATTTAAACTTAAAATCAATTAAACATAAAAAGTAGGGATCAAATCCATATTGCCTTCAACATGTCTCTTGGTCTTCGTTGTGTTTGGCACAAGATAGTTATGTGAAAATCTATATTTTATTTACTGTGTATATGCAAAATATTATTAAATACTCCTAACACTTTGATTAAAATAAATATTTGTGAAAATTTTAGTAGTTAAAAAGTAATATTATACTCATTAAAGATCTTTGTCAATCATGATTTAGTAGATGTTAGTGTAATTTTTTTCCAGTGTGGTATTGAACTACGCTCCTCGTGGTATTTTGTGTTTGAAGTGGTTTCTTTTGTTGTTGGTTTGAGTTGGGTGTTTTAGAATATTTTATTGATTCTGGTTGATGATTGTCAAGTTTATATATGTTTAAGTGGTAGTTTTTACCTAGTTTTTTGTTGTTGTACTCTTTTCCTTCAAATAAATTCATGGAAGTTTTTACGAGACGTGCAACTTAAATTTTGAGATTCTTTGGTTAAATTCTTAATAAAATCATATTTACTGAGAAAAAATGTAATTTAATGGATTGGATTTTGTTGTTTCAATAACTAAAGATTTGTGGAGACAAATGCACGTAGTTACGTAATTTTTCATTATATTATCATTATATGATTCGAGAAGTCAGATTATCTTATGTTAGATAGATTTTTTATTTTTTAAATGAATATTATTAAAATATTATATATAATTATTGGTATTTAATAAACTATTTGATAAATTTAAATTAAGTATTTTAGGCTAACGAGTGTTGATGCAAGTGATTTAAATTCAGAAATTTGAGTTTGTAAGACCAAGTTTGAGTTCTACCACCGTCATTTTTTATGGGCAATCTATAAATTCTTTTAAAATTAATTTACTGAGTTTATAACACTATATATAGTTATAAAATATCTTTTGATTATCTATCAATTTTCATTTTCATGCCGAACAAGAATTTTTTTATATCTATATATAATGAGAGATTCACTTACATTAATGTAAGAGAAAAATATCTTTTGATTATCTATCAATAACCCCTAAAATCTTAATCATAGCTGTATATTAGCTACATACTGCAGTTAAAGTAGATTAATGAACAATATTATAGTTTCTTCAGTGATTAATTTTCTTTTAATTAGCCTTAGTTACTTAATACTTGTTAATTTGAAGAGTAGATGATTTACTTTACATAATCCGGCCTGGAAATTGCTGTGTGAAGGATCAAAATGTTTGGGGCGGAGACAATGAGAGTAACAGTGTCATCTCTTTTAATATATCTGATTCTGGAGTTGCAGAAATTATAATATGACAAGAAGCAAAGCATGGCAGGATGAAGGGAAAGGATTTAATAGGAGAAAAATGAGGAGGCAAAGGAGTATGAAGTTCAGTTTAGAGCTGATACTGCTACAGCTTTAATTCATGTAATGGTTTTTGCATGAAGTAGTACCCTAATATGTTGTTGTCATCGTACGTCTTAGTAAAGCTTAATATATGTGGGTGGAACGGTTGTTAGGTCTCAGATACTTTGTAAGTTATATACAATTATTCTACAATTACGTCTGATGAACTAGACGTATAAATTATTAATTAAGGATATAGAAACATAAACTACCTCAAGTTTCTGTGTTTCTTCTTTAAAGCAAAGCAGGATTAGATTAGAAATGGGATTACTCTTCAATATTTGCAGTTAGTTTGCTATTCTACGTACTAGTTAATATGATGAACAGATCCATTTCCTTTCCGTTCCCATCTATTCATCCAAAATAAGCTGAAAAAGCAATTGTTTTAAGATCCAACAATAGCTATAAAGCATAAAGATAATGACATGAAAATATACATTTCAATCAATCAAATAATAGAAGTAATTATAGACTAAAGCAGAAGTTTTTATGTTCAAGAATTGGCGTCACCGAGGATGGCTTGCCACGCTTGATCTTCTGCTGCTTCAACTGAGTATCCCATAAACATCCTCATCCTCTGCACTCCCAAATCTTTAGCAAATTGCGATCCTTTCCGCCGGCTTTGGTGTCGGAAGCGGGAACCGTCGGAGCAGACGGTGAACGCAACGGGAAAGAGAAATTAGAATCGTGCGGTTAACTTATCCCAGTTTGGCGTGGATTTTTAAAAACACTTTTAGGTAAAAAAATGATTTCGATGGTAAAATCAATTACAAACTGGTAAAAAATAAAAAGAAATTATGGTAGAAACGGTGGTTTCAAACCAATCGTAAAAACTAGAATTTCTTAGAATTTTTCTTTTCAGTTTTAACTTTACGTTTGGAAGTGAATTATAATTTTACCTGTTTACATGGATCCAACCAATTATATATTTACATTTAATAATTAAATACTAACGTCCTTAAAGTTAATGTATTAATTAATAATTTGTTTTAATTACTAATATTTTTTATAATATTATTTTTATAAAAACAAATATTTAAATTATTATTTCATAATAATTTTATGTCCACATGTTAAAAATTATTGATAATATATTTTTTCTTAATAAAATAGTTCATATATAAAGATATTATTAATGAGTTGTCTTAGAATATTTTTTTATTTTTATTATAGTTTAAGTTGATATATATATATATATATATAAGTGTAAATATAATATAAGTGTTGAATTTTTAATTTATAACATAATGTCTATAATAAATATTTTATCTTTTCAAACTCACCTTTTAATAACAATCTTAAAAATTTTAATTTTAAACTATACTTTTATTCAATACTTTTAAAAATTTATTTCTGTAACACTTTTGTTCAACGCTTTTAAAAGTCATATTGGACCTTAAACTGCCTCTTTGAATTCCCCCTTATGACCGACAAATTTGGGAAGAAATTTCCCAATACATATTGTTTTTTTCTTTTTCTCTTAGTCATAGTCACAAGAACTCCACTTTTGATTTGAAGTCTTCAACCAATACTTAGTTGGTTTCTAATAATTAAAGTCGAATTTAGACATTCAATAAATTTGAATCGTTAGCCCCATTCATTTAAGATAAACATGCCATATTTCTATTGGAAAAATTATTCTCTTACCCTTCAACTTTATTAATTTAATCATGAAACTTTTGTTATATTTGTTTATTGAAATTGATTCCACACTAATAAAGACAAAATAGAACTTTATAAATATTGCGCCGATAACGGGTAACGGTGGTGGTTATGCAATTAACAAATTATTCATTTCTTCCTCTCCAATAATTAGTGCTTTTCTTATATCTTGATATGGATTGATATTATCGTAGCAAATTGAAAGTTTCTAACTTTTCTCGTAGCGTTATCTCAAAACATCGTCATCTGCAAGGAAAAATGTGTGTCAGCTGAAGACATTTTGGAATTAAAACAAGCCCAAAAGCAGGTTTACATTTTGGGTCTTAAAGGATGGGCTCTATAGTTGCGTGCCTGCTACTACTGGTATTGGGTCAAACATGAATCGAGTCTTGGGGAGCACAACAAAGAGAGCTATGCTCAAAAAGAGGAAAGAGCGCAGCATTCTCCAACATTTCTCTCCCTTCACTTTTCTTCATCCTTACTCCTTCCATGAGCACTTGCCATCATTTGAGAACACCCCAAAATGTCAAACAACCCACCCCTCTCTCCCTTATTCTTTACCGATGATAAGTGTACCATGTGATATGTCATAAGACTACAATATTTGGAACCATACTTTGAAAAAAATATTTTTACCTTTTAATTTTCTCTTTTATTATCTAATTTAATTGTAATCAATTCTTCTTAAAAAAAACATCAATTTTTTAGTGTTTAATAAACAAAAAAATTCTTATTTCTTGAATCATAGTTTTTTTTTTCTGGTTGTCCTTTAGGTTCCCATGGCTTCACCTTGATTAATCCAGACCGACCCGGTTTGTACATTTGACTTTGGTGGGTGAGTCTCCCAATGGGGATTTTCTGCATTCACAAGGACTTAAATCGAGACATACTTGAACGGAATCAAGTTATTTACCACTTGAACAACCCTTATTGGTATTTTATAGTTGGCTTAAATATAAAATAAGTGCTCAAACTATAGCATTTTTCACTTGCCTAAACTATTTTTTGAATGATCTCATTGTCTAACATTACAAATATTATCACTTTAGATGTCTGAGGCGTCAACGATGTTAATTTTTTCTGTTAAGTGACACGTGTCACAATAAGAAAGTTTTTAAATTTATTTTTTAAAAATTAAAAATATTAGTATATTAATAAAAAAAATCCTAAGTTCTCTTAAATTATAAAAAGGCTTAAAATCCCTAAATCCTAACCCCAACTCCTCGTCACTGCCCTTTCCGATCATGACCACCGTTGTCGTTGTCCTAGTCATACGTTGCTGTAGTTGCCGCCAATTGACCGTCGGAATTATGTGGGATAATGATTTTCATCCTGGTATTCGTGGGGTATAAAATGTCGATTCACCATCGGTGGGTCACGATTTCATAGGGGTTTGGTTGCCAGGAGAGGTGAGGTCGAGTGAAGCTTCATCGACAAAAAAGGTCGACGTCCAACATGGGTTTAGAGGTTGAAATATAGGTTTCAAAGTTTTGGGGTTATTTTGAAATTTCTATGGTTTTTTTTAAATATAATTTTAATTTTTTTAATTATAAATAAATTTTTAAAATTATTAGATTGTGACACATGTCACTAAACAAAAGAAAATAACGCAGTTAACGACCTGAGCACTTTAAATGATAATTTTATCTCCAAAATCGTTAAAAAATAATTAAGGCATCTATTTGTAAAAAGTGTTATAATTTATTCATTTATTTTATAATTAAACCTTTATAATTTTGTCTAAAATATTTTAAAAATCTTCTTGGACGCGCCTGCTCACATCTTTTTCTCTTTGCATCATATATCTTTTTTCCTGCAATAAACACTTGCTTCAAAATATGGTTATGTTGATTAAAGGTTAATTTAAGGTTGATAGCAACAGTTGAAGGCAAAAGATAAAAAAAATTTATGTTTGTCAGTTATGTTCATCTTTTTCTCTTTGGGCACGACAATAATCTTGAAAGAGGACTCTGTTCCGGGTTGTGTTTTGAAATTTGAATTGTTGAATGAAGTTGACGATTATAGAAGTGTAAGGAAGGCAAATTAAATTTCAATGCACCACTTTTATCTGTGAGGCAGCTTTCTTCAGCACATTCCTTTTTAGCTAGTGATGAGCAGAAGATAGTTGAAAATTCTTCTTGCACAAGGGCTGATATTCTACCTTCCAGTAACTGGGATGTGAATTCGGATCAGGTGAAGGATCCTGTTGCAGTATGGGAGCAAATCCGTGGCCCTGGGAATGCAAAAGTTGGCACGGAGAACGAGTTTGAGTCTAAAGAAGCCGAGAAATTGAAACCACGTATGTTGGTTAAGTATACCGATAGCAATAAGTCTTCCCTGGAATTAGTACCCTATCAGAGACCTGCAGTTGAGAAAACACTGTATGTAGAAATTGGTAGTTCAATTTTCAATTCCACAGACACCATGCTACTGAATTGAATGCTGGTATAGAATCTTCTCTTCAAGATATAAAAGGCCTCAATATTTTAGATTCAAGTGGCATGCCAGACATTGAAATAACAGGGTCAATGAATTCCTGTCGCTCCCACAAACCTTATCTAAGAGGTCAAGCAGATGATGGAAAATCCAAGGGTGGTTCTGACTATGCTCCTGTGTTACCAAAAAGGGCATCGGAGTCTTGGCTTTCGCATGCACCGCCTGCAGTTACATCAATAAATTCATTTTGCAAGTCTCAGAATGGCACTCGTTTTAATCCTTAAAAACAGGAACACAAGATACCTGCAACTGATACCAGGTGGGAAACAATCGTCAAATCTTCTTACTTGCATCACCATCATGTCCGCTATTCTGAGGTAATGTTATCAGTATTCACCATTCCTTTAACCCGTATATTGTCTTCCCTGATGTGAGTTTCTTTTCGTAAATACTTACACCTTTGTCCTTGATAGGAACTAGTAACTCACCTTTCTCAGCAATCCAAAAGTTAAAAAAACAATAGGGGCGTCATTCAAATACTTGAACTCAACATGGTCAGAGCTGATTAAGATATTGCAGCAGCCTACCATTTTGTTTTCATCTCCCCTCCGCGAGTTCTGTTTACCTCAATTCATTAGCTCTTGCTGTTGTATAGTGGTTCATTTCTTTTTCTTAGATCAGCCATCAGTGCAGGCTGAGGAAATTGTTACATCAAAGTCGATTCAAATCTTTGTAGCACCGGATTTTCATCTCTACCGTAAGGGAATGTACTAATTCTGTATTCTTTTGATCTGCCATTTCATAGTTTCACTTTGTTACACAGGAATTCATTAGTACTTAATTCGTGTGATCTTCCCGTCCAAAGATCCCTCGTATTAGCCGAACATGGAAAAAAAAAGAGAGGTATAGATCCAATACTCTCACACAGGAGTTCATATTCATGCATGTATCAACATGACACCAAATGCATGAATGGTATTTGATGAAAAATATGTACAACACACTCATCAAACTGTCAATAACAAAGCTTCCTGTTTCCTAAGGGTCTGTACCTTTTCTGATTCAACAACAAAGAATTCAAATGAAAAAACAATTACACTTTCTATAAATCCAAAACACACACACACACAAGTCAAGGACAAGTAGTTGGAACTACCCACAATTTCCTGTGGGTGTTTTTTGCATGGTTAGACCCTTAATTAACACCCACTCGATCTTATGATAAGATACTGATTATGTTTGTGGATCAAGATATCTTCTTTGAACAATTCTACTGTGTCTTGCATTAAACTTAAGAAAGTGAAAGTTGAGTGTTAATTTCGTGCAAGCCTTTACAATGTGATTTCTTTTCATCATCAATTCCAAACCTTTGGCTTAATCTTAACTGTAGATCGGGTAACCATTCCATATCCTTCATCACTTTATCTTGATTCATCTGCATATCAAATAAATATAATAAAAAAAATATTTATAACTTATAAAATATCAGATTCTAAGATGGAATTTAAATGTATAAAATAAAAGTTCATCAATGATTACTACATTCATCAAAAGTGAGGCGTCAAACTCGGATTTATAATCATCAACTTTGCTCAAGAAATCAAGCTTGTTGGAAAGAAACTGCCCAACAATGTAGTTGTTTCCCAGGTTGGCCTCATTGGGTCTATATGTGTCCTTTCCTTTAACTTCCAATCTATTACAGATCATATGGAAAGGATGCCACCTCTTCTCTCCAAGAACCCGGCCTGGTCTCATGGGTCTCATTCGCACAAGCCCTTCATTGTTGAAGGCAGCCTTTGGGAAACCATGTTCTTCTCCACCTTTGCTTATCAAAGAATTTAGCGGTAAGTGGTGCCTACTAAAACAAAATGAGATTAAAACCAATATTGCATACGTCAAATACTCATGCATTTTAAGTTTTATCATGAATTCTTGTGTTTAAAATCATTAAATTTAAACAAATACAGTTTAAATCGCTGACAATTCATATATCCGTATTCTTTTTATGTTAATTTTCTATAAAACTTTTGATAGATTAGTATGAATCTAATTCATTGTTACCTGGGAAAGCTGGGTTTGAAATCTAGTGGCCGTTGGTAAAGAGGAGTCGGTGTGATGTTATTTTCAAGAGACTCAGCGGCTAAGACAATTCCACCATTTTCCATTCTGAAATGTTGACGAGGACCCGAGCCTACGGCGGCGGCTTGCTGCAACAATATGCTCCGAAATTCTTCCCTTCCTTTTATTGATCGATTACTTTTGCTGAAAACTGAAGAAAAAAAATATATAAGGAAACGATATTTTCAAAACTTTATTAGTCGAATATCATCAAAATTGATTCATTTTACTTAAAACTGTAAAAAGGATTTATTGAATATTGAGATATTATATTTGTTAAGACATAATTAAAACCTACATAAGATAGAATATAGTTAACTAAATGATTGATCACTTATGTTTGTATTTTGTCCACTTTTATTCACTAATTTCAAAAAATATAATATATGGTCACTTTCGATTTTAACTAATATATGACAATTAAATATTTTGGTATAATCACACATTTAGTTCATATTATTTATATATTCTTTCAATTTATTTATATTTTTAATAAATTAAAATAAAACTAATCCTCCAATTTGTTTTGCTTTGTTTTCTTCCAATCAGAGGATGACATGTGTCACCTTCTTGTTGATGGAGAATTAATATATTAAAATAAAACGTGGCATCATTCGATTGAAAGATTAAATTAAATAAAAGTAAAAACGATCATATATTATTAACAAATAAACTAAATTAAGAGAATATGTAAATAACACGGATCAAATGTGTGATTATAGCAAATATTTAACTGTCAAATCACCTAATTTGTTAATTGTTAACCACAGTTAACCGATAGTGATCACATCTTAATTAAATAAAAGTAAAAATAATCATATATTAATTAAATAAAAATAAATATGATCATATATTATATTTTTCGAAATCATCGAGAAAAATTGACAAAACACGAATATAAATAATCAATAATATTATTAGCCCTATTATTCTAACACGATCATAAATGATCACTCGATCAATTAATAAAAAATTCTTCCCACCATTGGTTTTAGTTTTTATTAAAATATAGTAATAAAAAGTAAAAAGTAAAAAAAGCATACTAATTTCCTCTTAAATGGATACGTGTACCATTTTATTTCTTTTGGTACACACTAATTTGATTCCTTTTAAATCAATTATGCCTAAATCTTGTTCTTACCGAACGATGCTATATATCTAAATATTTGATGAACATATATGAAATCTTAAAATATAAAGTAATTTTACTGTATAAATCATCGAATGAGTTAAAGGAAAAAAGAAATCACCTTGTCCGGTCACGTCAGGCTTCTTACTTCTATGCATCTGAAACAAAAACAAAAATGGAGATAAAAGAAGAAGAAGAAGAAAGGATGAATTGAAAATGTTGAAAAAGAAATCAAAATTAAAAGTGGGTGTTTGTGGCACCTGCAAATGACTCTTTACATGGGCAATGCTAAGTCCCTTCACGTTCATCAACTGAAGAACTAACTTCGGAGTTGCTTCTGAGAAAAAAAAAATTATTAAATCAAAAGATGAACAGAAAGACAAAAAGAAGAGAAAATTAAGAAACAAAGCAATGCGTGAAAGAACTGACTGCCTTGTCCACCGAGTCTTTCAACGGCATGCACAAAAGAGAGATGAAGATCAGGAGTCCACCGAAGCCGAGGCAGCTTTGACCTAACGTATTGCCTCACTCTTCTTCTATCGTTATTATTAATGCCTCCATTAATGTTATTGCTGCAACTCCCCTCACTTCTCTTCTCAATCTCATCCTCTTCAACACTAACTTCACTCTCCTTCCCAAAATTCTCATCCTCGTCCTCATAGCTCACAGCATCTTCATTCAAGTCAAAGTTCGTCCACTTCTGGGAACATACTTCGCCGTCAGCCCTCTTTTCCACTCCATTCATCTCCTTCATGTCTTCTGTCATCGCTTTCTGTTTATTATACACGACCAATGGCTTCAAATAAGTGAAAACCATTCGAGGCTGCCTATTAATTAGTAGAAACCTAATTAAAGGTTCCATGTTCGTAGTTTTATTCACCTTAAATCAACGTTTACTTACCTACTCCCATTCAAGTGCCTATTAGTATCCAATGTGTACAAGTTCAAATCTGGTGTTAAAAACACTATAATATATGTAATCAAAATGCAATAAGTAGCAATGCCCAACATTAGCAATATTGTTTTAAAATGATTCAACTGCATGTGAGGACTTTTTTTCTTCTTCTAGGTGATGGGTTTAACTGCACGCACTTATTAAGCATCTTCAACTAACAGCAACATTTATTGGGTGGAAACCATCTGCATAAACATCATCACCCACCTTTGTAAATGAAAGTATTTTCGAATTTACGTGTTCTGGTTATGACAGAATGTGCTGTTTTGTTCAGCTAAATTTAAACCTAGACAAACCACGACATTCGACCTGCTTCTGATCTCTCTGTAAAATCATTATTTATTCGAAACAGCATTAAAGCATGAAAAGAAGAATAGAAGGTCTTGTCAGACTTACATATTGATCGGAAGCTTAATCAAGAGAGACAATGAATCCACCCTATAATTTCTGCAAAAAAGGAGTTGACAAAGTTAACCAAAGATGATATAGTTCCAACCTATTATGTGGTAACAAACTAAACATCAGAACAAATTGTTCAACAAAAAAATATGCCATTGTGTAAGAAAAAAAGTAGCGGATTTCAGTTTATGATATCAAATAGGAGTAAATCATGAAAAAATTTATAATGTCATCTTTATTTTTAATAAAAAAAATACTAGAACTTATTTATTTCTAAGCTCTATGAGTACGATTATTTAACATAAGGATAAGAGACAGAAAATGGGAGACTGTCATCTGTAAAGCTCTTTTGTATTTATATTTTATGGTGATGAACTTGAGTACGTATATATGAAAAAAAAAATAAAGCTTGGAATCCAATGAAAAGCTGGAGCTAAATTTAATCGAGACTTGAGTTGAGATTGATCATTTACCAGTCCTTTATAAAATAATTTTAGGTGCAGATTGAGTGGGAAAAGAATCAATATTATGATAAGAATAAAAGATTGTTTCAGAAATGTTCGATTTCTGAAGAACCTGAAATAAGTAGTTCATCTCCAAGGCTATGATACTATTAGAACATCATCACTCATCATTCCAGAAGATCTTTTCATAAAATATAGCTTCAAAATTTTAAAAGAGAAAGAAAAAAAGAGACTATATATCAATCCCAAGACACAGAAAAGAACATCACAAGTTAACCTAAATGATTTTCATGTAGAAAATATGCAAGCCAAAGAAGAAAAAAAACAATCAATTAACGGGAAGGATTCATTTTTTTCCTCACGGATACAAACCATTGATGCAGAAGATCCCAGCCAATATTTCTTCCAAGTTGTTGATCATCACATAACCCTTCAACTTGAGAGAATTTCTACGGAAAATATATATATATATATATATATAGAGAGAGAGAGAGAGAAGGAAGGAAGGAAGGAAGGAGAAAAAGAAGCTTGAGGGCGAGGTTTTTACAACTTGGTCTGAGGATGTTTGTATTTGGGTATGATTGAACCGTGGAGCTTAAGTCATCAAATTATATAAGATCTTCACCTTCATGGTCTCGACCAAAAAGCACAGATCGACGGCATTTTGACACTGCACATGTTATCTTAAAAATGCAAAGCAGTAGTCTTTTCATCACAGAGGGAACTGTTGCAGACATCATGTGACTATTCCGTCCTTTTTTTTATAATTTCTTTTCCTTATTTCTATGAATTGAGTATTGAATTCTCCTGTTTGACAGTTGTCTCCCTGTAAAAAAAACAACTGATTAAAGAACGCTTTCTTTCTTTGGTGATTAAACTAATTGTTTGACCTTTGGTTAATAAGAGCTTAACTCTATAGAGACACTATATCCTCTCGATATTTGTATCGTGATTAACCAAAAGGGTTACTTTTTACATGATAATTAAATACGATTTTTTAAAGAAAGGATGGGACCATTTCTTCATCAACCCTTCAATTTCTTCCAACCTAAACAAGACTTTTTTAATTTTGTATTTTCAATTCTTCTTTATTTTTCAGTGCAAATATATTTTTGTATGACTTTGAATATATATATAAGAGCTAGGATAAATTTATAAATTATAAAATAAAAAATTATGTTAAAATCAATAGTTGAAATTATATTTAATTTTTTTAACTTATAATTATCCCCCATTTTCACTCCTTATATTAAGGTGCAAATTTTAATTTCAATCATTGATTTTTATTTATTTAATAATTATAAATATCGTGTAAATAGATTCTCATTATATTCATTATATTTTCAAATACGAGAAAACAGATTTGGTCGTTCTTCTAACATTAGAATTATTGTGGGGTCGAAAATGGCGAGCAACAGCCCCAAACTTTGTCAATTTTGGTGGGTCTAGTCTCTTGTATTCAAACAAGTAGCCCGTAATCATTTTCCCATTTTTTTCCAATTCTTAAGCAGCTGGGCAATGGAGAAAATTAATTTAGAAAAGAATATATATATATATATATATATGTTATTTAATGAATTGAATGAGCTTTGATTGCAAACCTACATTTCAACATCTTCTTCACCTCATTGGGAAAGGGAGGAAAAAGTGTGGGTGAAATTAATGTGTTTGAATTCTTATAATATGTTACAAATAAAAATTAGGATGGGGGCGTAGGGCATGATTTGGTCAAAATAATTTTAGCTTTTAGCCATATAAACGCTTCACCCATACACTTAACTGTCACAACAAAAAAGGGTCTGCTGATATTTATTGTTACTAAAAGGTTTACCTTAAGAGGCTGAGCTGCAGATGGGGATTTGGACTGTTCATGTTTGATTCTGTTAAAAAGTGGATTAGGTTTGGCTAATGACACCCAAATGTGGCTGGTTATGTGTGACATGTTCATTTTTATTATTATTTTATTGTTCCAAATTGAACACCCAGGTAAGATGCTTTTCGGACAAAACAACTGGGAACTCCTTGTTTGTCTTCTCCTTTGCATGGGGAGTCGACATGCATTTCGTTTTTTGTTTGTTTAAAACCATGCGAATCTTGATCATTTCATGGATGAACTTCACGTGGCATCAACATTCAGTATCGCAATACCCGTCATCAGAGACGGACGCTGGGTCAGTGGTGAACCTACAACAAGTTTAGGTGGGCACGATCTTACCTTAAAATTTGAATTTTCTTCAATTTATTATTTATTTTAAAATTTGTATTCATCATGAAATTTAATTTGTGTACATTTTATATAAAAATTTTATGTTATTAAGGTATATGTGTCCACCTTCAAAAATAATTTTGGATCCACCACTCCGCATAATTTCTTATTAGAAGAGACGAACTTATAAAATTGTTAGAGTGAAAATATATCATTAATAGAAAATAAAAAAATATTTATAAGACAAGAGAATTTAAAATTTCGAGGTATATCCATCACAATCTGTCAAGGATCCAGTGCAAAGAAAGATTCATGAAGATAAGTCCATAAATGAACTTTAATATCCCAATAATCTAATGCCTTTATCCTGTTTGATTGTTTCTTATCATTGTTTGGTTTTCTTCCTTTTAGGGTCATATGAAACACATGAACCGGCACACCAGATTGCAACCTGCTTTCCAAAACATAAAGTCAATTAATCAATAATTACGGTTCATAAAAGAGAATCATGTTCATCAGAACCATTTTGCATGTTTTCTGGACTCGTTTGATCGATCAAACCAGTAAAAAGAAGAGCAGTAAAGAGCGGTTCAATAAAGAGCCTAATATGATCAGAGCAGTTGTGTAGGAAACAATCATTAGCCCATCGTCATGACAAAGATTAATAATAGATCGGTCGTATTCATATGAGTAGTTGCAACAGATAAGACTTGATTATCTCAGATCTAAAACATTCACTTCTTTCACATAATATCTGAATGAGACTATCTGTCTACTACTACTACTTAATAAAGTGTACAGTGGCAAAAGTTCAACCTTTTTAAATGCCCTTTCAGTAAGCTATTGTAAACGGTGATAGAGCAGTTGATGCTAAAACAAGCAGGCAGGGAGGACCAGACTGGTAATAGATATAGACTTAAACAAGCAATAAGCAACTAATTGACAGTAGATGCAGGCAATTAGTTTAACAGTGTAATTTGTCAAATTTGAAGTTATTTCAGATCTGACCTAAATGTACTCTCAGCTATATATGAAGGCCCTAAAATTAATTGCAGGTTGATGAACGTCAATATTTCTCTGCCTGCATCTTTTGATGGAATTAAAATGGTAGTAGCTAGCTTCAACTTTAATTGATTTACATGTCCATCATCAGAATTTATCTTCTTTTTTTCTCAAATCATCGCATGAAACCCTTCAGAGGAGAACAACAGATGTTGGTTACTATACAATAAGGTGGGGAGGCCTTTTCACGTTTACACTTTAGTTGAAAATGGAGCCCCTTTTTTCTTTTTTCTTTTTGATGCTTCTTTTTCATGTCAGATTTCCGCTTTCTGAAGAAATTAAAGCGTATTAGTAAAAGACAATTACTGGCATTTTTAGATGGTTTGATTTCATCATGTGCCTAGCTGGACCAATGCAAAATATACATGCATGCATTTACTGCGTTGCAAATGTTTGCACATGGGACAAGTTAAACAGAGATTAAAGGTAGGGAGGTAAGAATATTTATGAAATTCCCTCTGCTACAATAAATCTTCTTTATGGTAACTACCAGAAAAAATGTTGGAAAAATGATGTTATTCTGGGGAATTGAATGATAAAGAAGTTGGATCAGAAGCATTGAAGAAGAAGGGAATTGGTTGGACTCCTGGAAATTATAATCTATACAAACCTGTAAAAGAAGCAACGTGTCAAAGAAAATAAATTAATAGAATTTAGAAAAAAATCTTGCCAATAAAAAAAATTAGCAAGGAGTTTAATGTTTGTTCCTCAAGTCTTCCCGAAGACATCAAGTGCTCCTCATATTTTGTTTTACATTGCAACAAACACCTTAATTATGAAAATAAATTCTCAGATACCCATTTGATCAACAATGATATTCTTCCCACATTATTATCGAAGAAAATTTGCCCCCGGAAATGTCTTGCATAAACAATTTCCTGGTTGGTCATTGGTGACTAGACCAGTATATTCCTGCAAAAGTAAATTCATTGTTTGTAATAATGGGGTGCATGGAGTTTGGTGCACAAACTCATGGGCACGTTTAGTATGACTCGTAGGTAGCTACAAAACTAAATGCAGCTCTGAAATTATCAGAGCCCACCAATCTTCTGTTCATGTTTCTCACAGTAGCATTAACAGTGGCAACGGTACAGGTAGGTTTAACTCTGCAGCACTACAACCTTTTACCTGTTTTATAAACTTAAATTCTTTTACCATTTCATTGTCTTCAACAGCTTGCCTGACAAGTATAGCAGAGTGTAACTATAAGAGAAAAAATAAAATTACAGAAGGATTTAGAGTTAGGATTTGAATTTTCAATGATTACCCACACGTCTTTCAATGTAAAAAAGGTAATAGAACATGTTTGTTTCTGCACGTTTGGCTCGTGGCTCGTGGCTCGTGGTTCGGGTTCAGCCTCATCCAACGGATAGAATACTATCATGATTAGTACTTGATTTGTAAAATAAATGAGTCATCTAACTTCAACCCAGCGTGTGAAAATCGGCAACCAAACTTGTGGATGCATTAAATAAGGACTTGAGACGGTTCATAAGGGAACTGCTAACCATTTCTGCAGCGCTTGTGGCCGAACATCAGAGACTATTTAACTTAGAGTATTCTCAAGTCGATTTGAAAATTTTAAAGTTTAACTTACTTTACATTCAAAATTAAATTTGAAGTTCCACAAGATACGAAAGTTTGTCAGCTTAAAATTTGACTAAAATTCAAAATAAAAAATTGAAGTTCAACTCGAGATCGAAAAAAATTGAACTCAAAATATTTTTAAACTTAACTCATTTTAAACTTAAACTCGAGCTTGAACCTAAATCTTAAGTAGATGAAAAATTTTATATTGCATTTTTCTAAATAAAAAATAACATAAATATTAATATTATTAATAATTTCATTAAATAAATTAAAGTTTAAATATTTATTTCGAGTTTCTCGATAACTTTTTGAGTCAGGTAGGAAACTCGTTTCAATTAGTTAAGTATTCGAGTCGAATTTATTCAAATAAAATTCTAACTAAATTTTATTCAAATTGAACTCAAATAAGTTAGAAGATATTTGTTCTCATTTACAACCTTAAGCCGAACGTGTTATACATCAGAACATGTTCTTCTCTCGACATTTATCTAAGAGGTGACCCCGGCCCTCTGTTGATTCAATGGAGAACTAGAAGTTTTCGACTTCAAAATTGTAGGTGTCTGACAATTTTTGAGTTGACAGCCCGACAAAACTCAAGTACAAAAAATATTAGGGCAAACTACATAATAGATCATTTTCGTTTGAGTTTAGTAAATTTTTTCTTGGATTAAAAAATATAATATTTGGTCACTTTCGTATCGTTTTAATTAAGATATGATAACTGAAAGCTAACGATCATTAAACCTTTAACAATTTGCTGAT